CCGCCGGACAAGTCAATTGAAAGATCTACTTGTCCGACATTGTAAATAACACGTCCCGGACGGTGGGACGTGTGCTTTTTCGCACAAGCATATGTTTCTTTCTGGCTTCCCTGCCCTGTCTGTTTAACAAATGTAGAACTCTAAGGAATACAATATATCAGGCTTTAAATAAACAGACGATGCAAATGTCTTATAGAGTGCAAATCTGATCATCTTTTATAAACGTTCTCCCTTTCAGGATCGAATCATCAACCTGGCTGTGGGGGGATTCACGTCTCTGGTTGTTTTAGTAAGTACTCATTATTGAATGTCCTTTTACCACTTGCATATGTAGATGTTGCTCCAAAGTAAAAGCTTGAGAAATCACCCAAATATTTTTGCAGCGGCTTACTTAATTATTGTAAAAATGTGAATGTAGCTGTGTGTTCAAGCAGCTTTTTCTATTTGTATCTGTTCTTAATGACTGTAGTGAATGTGTTGGTGATAGTAGTGTGCAAGAGTATTTCTTTACCATAACTTTAGAACTGCAGTTGCAAAGGGGCATTTACTGTATGTGCATCTCGTTGGAATGCATAAAGCGTTTTATTTAGCTTTAGATTTGGTAGGGGGTAGGGTTGCTTTTAAGTCTGAATGGTTATAACTGATCTGACGTCTGTACTTATTTCAAATTCAAATTCCTACATGCTGATATTATGCATCTTTTTTAAGTTAAGGTTTGCATACATTCTCTGATCTTTTTAAAAATTAATTTTCTATTTTCCTCATTGAACCCATTTATAGTTTTACTTTCAGCATTAAAGTGTAACCTGTGCCACGAGTTCTACACATGTAACCACACGAGCAATGTTTCGTGTTTCCTGCTCTCTGAAAGAAATGTGGTTATCTATTTTTGGATGCTGACGTGTGTTTTTACTTCTCCTTCTGCAGACAGACAGTGTTTCTCCACACTGTCTGTCTGCAGAAAATCAACTTACACACAGCTCCAGCACAGCCCTGTCTGCTATTCTTAAAACGAGCTGCGTTCTAACATGCATCCTGTTAAACAAAATACGTTTTACACTATGGTTTTACATGGTTAATGTACATCACCTTTACATAGAAGGTCTAATAAATAAATACTGCAATTAAAGTGCAAAAGTCCTTCAGTAATAACAGATAGATGAAACTGTAAATGCCAAAGATGTTACAGCTGAAAAGCTTGTTTTTTATTCAAAAGCTTTTGATTATTTAGACTCTTTTTGTGTTAACATTTGTCCTTTTTGTCTTGCAGGAGACTGTTATCAGTTCTTTTGTGTTCCCCTCGTTGCCTCCGCGACCGCTTAATGTCTTCTTTGCCGTGTGCATCCTGTTAGCATGTGGATCTAATATAATGCTGGTAAAAACACTATTTTGTTTTTTATTTGAAAGGCTCATTAGTTCTTGTACAAATGATAACTTAAGTACATAAACATAGGTAATGTAAAATGACTGCCCTTTAGATTTTTGTTAGATGTTTAATGGGAATGGAAACACTAAATAGTGAATCTTAAACTTACTTTTCAGATAAAACTTTCAGTAATTTCATAGGTTTTTTCTTTAAATTGCTTTGAGGCGTTGCAATCAGGGCTGAAACAATTTGTCAATTAATTCATCAAAGTTGACAAATCATTAAAATCCTTTTTATCCAGTAAAACTTAACCGATTCTCAGAATGTCAGGTGCATGTATTTATGAACTTTGCTGCATGTATTTATTTTATGTAATTGTTTCTATTTATTGAACATTTTGTGATTTTTGGCTAAAAATTCAGATATCTTTTTCACTGTTTTCAGAAATGTTTAGACTTTATTATCAAATAATAATTTTAAAACTAATTTGGTGAAAAATAAATGATGTTTAAATAGTCAATATGAGCTGCCTTGCCACTGAAAGTTTCTTGTAAAAATGTAAAAAATAAAACTGTGAAAAATAATGTTTTGTGGCTTAGTGATGTATAACATTTCTACTCAAGCCAAACTGCCATTATAAATCAACCTTTTCATGTTTCTCCCTGTCAGATATACTGGTACCGGCAGGGCGATCTGGAGCCTAAATTCAGGAATCTGATTTACTACATGCTGGCGTCCATCCTGCTGCTGTGTCTATGTGCCAACCTCTACTTCCACGATGTCAGGTAAAGAGGAAGAGGAGGAGGAAGAAGGGAAGACATGGCCTTGACACATGAAGGACTACATGGACAGCAGGGCTCATCTCAATCTAACTTTTCCCAGCTGACCCGCAGCAAACTGGAGATACTTGGACCAAAACCAGTGAAGCTTCTAATGGTTCCAGCTGGAGGAAAACTTGTCAGACTTGTTGGTGCTGAAACACAAAGCACTGAACACACACACCCACACACACACTGTGTTACAGTGTAGAAATCATGTACTTATAGAGGCCAAAACTCTGCCTGGAGACACACTGCTGGAGGGTGAAACAGGTGTGTCTACATGCTCATTGATGTCATTTCTTTCTCATAATAACACACTCTTAAATTCATGCAAGAAAACATTGTGTTTGATATCATGATGCAAGAGTTAAAGGAAAAATCTACCCGTTCATCTGGTTTTTGTAGGTCATATCTCTTCTGTGTCATTTTGAACTTGGTATCTTATCTAAGTTGCTCATTAACTAAATGAATATCTTCAGAACGTTGGAGTATAATAGTGAAATTGTGAATACAGTCATTGATGGATTTCTAAATGAGTCAAGGGCCCCAATGGTCTTCACCTACAGAATGTATGTATCATGTTCCTCTAAACTCCAATCAGATGCCATCTTTTGATTTAATGGTGCATTCAGGGTCAAAGAATATTAATTCATATGAACTTGACAAATGAAAAAGCCAGTGTGAGGTGCAAATGCTGGAAGCTGAGACGTGATATCTCCCAAATCTGTCGTATATACAAAAACGATAGAGTATGTACTGCAAACATTATCATGTCGAAGTTTAGGGTAGCAACCAGCAAAAGAAGCGGGTTGTTATTTCGATCATTCCAATAATTATTAAGACTATAAAATGTCAGAAAATAATAAAAAATGACCTGAGAAAAGGGGTCATCTTTGAACGTCTGAATCGGGGGAATAATTTTACAGAAAGTGTTTGTTTGATAATTGCTTTATTAATTAATTAATGGTCCAAGTAATGGATTTTATTTATAAATCAACTAACTATGCTTCGGCTTCTCAACACATCAGTAAATTGTTTATAATTTCCACTTCAATTCTTGCATTTTTGAATTGACAAATTTCATCTGAATGCTCCATTATAGAATCTCTGAATCTGTGAATTACTATATTTGAATTTATGCTATCAAAATTGATTTTTTTCCACATACATTTTTGCCTCATTTGCCAACTGTTGTTTTAAAAAATGTTAAACAGGGTGGGTTTTTCCTTTCCGCAGAAAGTAAATGATGAGCATGTAAACACTCCGCAGCAGTATTCAGTACTGTAGACTCTAGTAACAAACTAGCTAACAAAGCAATAGCACAAGCAGCTTCTGTGACAAATATATGCAACACTTTGTATGTTTTATCTTTCTCTGTCACTGCTTATCTGATTATCGCTGTGGATTTAATTCATTTTCCACTTCTAAGAGGATTTCTTTAGAATTGAAATGCTGAATTACACCGACTCACTGCCAATCCTTGCACTAAGTATTGGTACACACATTAGTCTAAGCCATGCACACACAGCTGTAGCACAAATGGGAACAATAATTGTTGCTTTACACTGAATTACCCCAGAAATTTAGTAACTATATCACATTGATGTGTCCGCCATTTATATTTTTGCACTAATTATTCTGCCATTCACAAATCTGAGCTGGGTTTTTTCCAGTAGTAGCTTTCATTTTGACTGTTTGATTCGCTGTCTCTTGTTTTGCATTTAAATAAGAATTATAATCATTGAAACATTCTGTATTTTAGCTCAGAGCCAACACAGTGTTATAAAGAGGTTTGTTCATGTTTTTGCAGGTTAGGTAAACACTACGGTTTACAGACGTGACCCTGAACATGCAGACAGAATAGTTGAACTAAAGCCAGACTTTGTCTCCAAATGTAGCTCAGCACTAAAGTTGAGTGGATTTTGGGACAAATTCGTTTTTCAAGTACACTTTCAAACTTTCCCAAAGCCCAATGTGATGATTTTCAATTATTACCTGAAGTCCAAGACCAAAAATTCACATTTGAAAACTGGAAGCCAGATAACCGTTGTCATTGCTTTAAAGAAAATGGCTTGAACAATTAAACAGCCGTATTCCCACTTTCTGCCAAAAAACTAATTCTGGTGTCATGTTTGGTCACAGGAAATGTCAAGTGTCAAAAGTTGATCCTAAAGCAAGATTTCATCAAGAAATGCCATAAGACTAAGTGTTCCTCTGAATACTTTATAAAGTGAAACATGAAATGTATCAAGACTTCTAATGTTTTCCAGCTTTGTTTCTCCAATGACAAACATCTTAGTGCTATACAAACTGAGGAGTCGACCTCACCACAACTTTAGGATTGTCAAAGCCATGCATTTGATTTATTTCATTTGTTTTATGGAATAAATAATCCTGTACCCTGAATGCCTATTTGCTTCTCTCTCACTGTGTGCAATGATGTTTACAGCAACACGGATGAAATGCAGAGTTACAGACTCTTCTGGACTATTTGGCATTTAGATGATTCAAATGAGGGCCTGCAGATTAAAAGGCCAGTTTTGCATTTAAATGTCCGTGTAAAGTAATAAAAATAAAATAAAAAATGACTTCATGTGGAAGCCAATATTAATTTGCATGATACTTTTAGAAGTATTTTCCTCCATCAAAACTAGGACATGGATACTGTAAAGCAACTAGCTCAGTTTGTTTTGTACTTTTGAGAAATCTCTTACGATTTAGTATCCACATTAATTGTACTCCATCTTCCCTTTCTGCTCAGTAAAATTACCTCCCACCTACAATTTATCACAAAATATCTGAGTGGCACCAAACAGTGGTTATTCGTTAATTTATTTGGCATTTTAAGGATACATTTGAACTGCATTCATCAAAAAATATTTGCATAAAACTCCACAGTTCTGCGTTTATAAAAATCAAAATTCATGTAAATTCAGGCAAACATAAAATACAAAGTAAAACCAGTTAGCTGCAAAATAAAAAGCCTGTTACAGATTACAAACCAACCACAGGCAATGTTATACATATTTTACATAAATTGATCCGATACTATTCTAAATTCTTTCTTCAACGTCCTCCAGAGGGCAGCAACGTCTTTAAAAGTAGTGCGGACATGCTCTCTGTGAAACTGAAAAGTAGCACATTTATTATAATTGGTACTAGAATAAAAAGTGTTCAATTTCCCGGGCAAATTAATTACATTTGTACCCAAAGAGAAGAAGAGCAAACAACTGAAGAGGATCCATACTGTCGCAGAATGGTCATCCTGTATGGATCCGGGTAGTAAACTATAATATGACTGTTATGATCATTAAACAGATTTAAACTCTTAAGCCGTTGTGTGGGAAGACATACATTTAACACAGGTTTTTTTTTGTTCAGACAAAGTCCCGGGACTTCTTAATAGCACAGCAGAGCATCATGCTGAAGATCATCCCAAAGATCTGAAAGGAGAAGGAGGACATGAATATACAAAGGGTGAAAAACGTGTATGTGCATGTTTCAACTGCTAGTAATTAAAAAATTATAAATGTTGGCATTCAAATCTTTTCAGGATGTGTCATCACACTCACCATGATGATCCCGATACCAATGCCCACCCCTCCGATAATGTGCAGTTTGGTGTTGAACATCTCGTCGATGGCAGCCGGACAACTCTGACAGAAGCAGAAAGAAAAGGCATGTCAACATTTATTTTGAAAAAAAACGGGTATACATTAAAATTGTATTCATACAATTCTTAAAAAGGCTGTCACAAAGAAGTGGTTTAGGAAAAGCCACCCAACATTGAACAATGGATGCAAGTAATAAAGACAATGGACATGTTGCTACCAGATTTTCACAAGTGGATCGAGTACATAAAACTTAAAAAGTCCAACTCTAGCGGACTTTATTGAATAAGTAAAAAATGGAAAATAGAATCGAACTGTGATTTTTTTTTACCCTTTTTGAGATATTCCCCTGTTTAACCTTTCTTGAATTACAGCAGTAACAGAACATCAAACTGAGCCCCTGTATGGTCAGTGAGAAACCCTGTGTTTGTGTGAGTGTGTGTTGTTACCGTGGTGATGAGGACCTCCAGTCCTTCCTTCTTGGGGCAGATATCTTTAGCGGCATCGATCACCGTTCCTGTGGGCCCGCAGCAGTCCAGCTGCACGCACACACACACACACACACAACACCGTTTATTAGTCATTTATTCCTACAGCAGCACACACACACCTACTTTATATTTAAAGATGTGAGAAATCATTTATTTTCAGATCAACTGTTGTGTTGCTATTTTTACTTAAATAAAGTGTTTGGCTTCTTCTTCCACCACAAAACAAATAAACAAAGAAATTAACATGTATAAAAAAAAAAGAAAATATATATATTGCTGCATGGCTTCTTTGTGCCAAAATATAGTGACTCCTAAATCTGCCTACCTATTGATACCATCAACCTATTCTGTAGAAATATAATTTCATACCATTAAATTACAGTAAGGTCCTGATAAAAAAAGAACTTTCCAGAATAAAATACATCCTTGTACATGTACAATGTACGTCTGAGTACTCACTCCGAAGTGGATGAGACGCAGCGTCTCCTTCAGTGCTTCCTGTTTCGTGTCCTTGTAGTTGTTGTAGGTCTGCTTATAAAACTCAGTAACATCCTCCACCACCTGCAGACAGAGACCAAAGACAAAGAAACAGCAGAGTTCAATGCCAACTCCACAGGCAAACAATGAAGTCTAAGAAAGGGTGTGTGTGTTTTTTCGTTTACCCTGTCCTTGTTGGAGAGGCCCCAGATCCCAGCAGCCACCTCCACAGCGAAGATGAGGAACAGGAAGAAGAAGAACTACAAAAGAAAAATAAGAGTTCAGTTTCTCAGCATTTTTGTGGACACATAGGTGAAAGACATTCATACCATACAATACATTCAGCAGACACGTGAGGTTCTGACTGAACATTATGTTCAGTTTAACCAATTAAAATGTTCCACTGCTGATCAGAGAATAACTCACCAATCCCAGCATGCACGGCGACTCCTTCATGGCTCCGCAGCATCCCAGGAAGCCCACCACCATCATCAGAGCCCCCGCCGCAATCAGGATGTACACACCTGCACAACAAGATGCAGATTAGAGATGGACAATATAAACCCTGCAGGGTACTTTTCCATAAACATTTCCACTTTTCTTTAAATAAATACTCTTGAGTCATGATGGCCATGCTGATGAGATAATGAGTACAGCTTGTACATAATGTAACCTTGTTAGTGATCCAACACATACAGTATATAACTGACATCAAGGTAAATCCTGAGAGCAGTTCCTGAGTTTTCTACTGAAGTCAGACATTCAGGTTATGGAAGACCCCTTTCCCGAGGATGTTTTTCTTCACACTTGCAAATTGAAACCCCACCCGACTTTCTGTTGAAGCCATTTGCAAGGAATTCTCCAATTTGTAAAAAAAAAAAAAAACAGGTTCTTGTTATCTCTTCAAAAATGGTGGCATGCTGCTCTGATTTATCAAACGTACTATCTGTCAACCGTCACTTGACCTGAATGAGACTAGAGATTATGATGTCTAATTTCAAATCTAAATGAGTTACACATTATCTCAAGAGATTTACTCAAGTACTCTCATGCTACTTTCTATTTCTACTACCTATATATTTCAGAGGGAATTATTGGTACTATGATTTGTCAATAGTTTTTTTGCATCAAGTATTTTTACTTTTATACCCCAAGTACATTTTTCCGATTATACTTTTATAATAAATCTATACTACAATTTTAATTAAGTAACATTTGTAATGCTTTAATTGAGTATTTACACTGTGGTATCAGTACTTCCACTTATCTAAATGCTAAATTAAAGGATGTTACTCTGCTAAACCCAGGCAGATACACAAGAGTCCATACTTTGTGTTTCTTTACTGCCCTGCCTCTGCATGCGTTTATGAATCATGTTCAGCATTACATTTAATCAAACAAGTCATAAATGACTGGAAACATTGCCGAAGTCAAATTCCAAACATAAATTGTAAAAAGTGATTTCAGTGCCATACATTTTTAAGACCCATTATCTTTAATGTGGCTTTCATAATGATGAATCATCAAAGAAATGTAGGAAAACAATAAGCAGCGTGCTGATGTCATGGGTTTACCACCACACACGCAAATATGTGTCCTCCTAAGCTATCATTAAGATGTTTGTCATTTCTAAACAATCGCCTCTCTGCCCACTTCACTTATCAGTTTGATGGAAACACAAAGAGAGAAGAAGGTGGGCGAGAGTCTTTTTTTCTGAGTGCTCCAGAGAACAACAGTGGAGACACAAAGACGTGGCTGTGAGTGTGTGAAGAATGAAGCTATGTGAGGAGGATGGACCCTGGCCTCAGCTGCCCTCTGCAGCGGGGGGGGGGGGGGGGTTCTACAGTCAGGTTGTTCCTGTTGCAGCACTGGTGCATGCAACAGGTCACCTCTGACACACACAAAACCCCGTAATAGTACACTTCAAGACTTTTTTTAGGACACGGATAACTCACGATTGTATCTATGAAACATTGAAGGGAAATGTTGTGGTGCCGAATTGCCCAAAAGAAAAGACAGCTAGTTGTGAGTGGCATTGGGCCTTTCTTGTTATTATTAAATGCAGAGGATGTGTTGAAGCGGTCCAGATGAATAATCTTATACCTACATGCAGTGAGGTGCTAATCATTTTGTAAAAAGCCTGAATATCTAATATATTTGAATATCATGTACATGTAGGGTGGCCCGAATTGATAGGAATATAGGATAGGCATATAAACGCATAATGCTTCTGCCTTTTTTGGGGTAAATACTTGCCTTTCACTTATCATTACTTTGTTTACACTAATCGTGTTGTGTGTGTGAAGACTGAATCAAAATATAAAAGTGAGGGCTGCCACCATATCTAACCAAACCACTGACAATGTACTTATTAACTCATTACTAGTTACTAATTAAAGGTGTCTCTCAACACTGGTTCATGTGTGGTAAAGTGAAGCTCGAGGGGCAAGCTTTCTCACTGTGATTGAGGAAATACTTTGATTTGATGCTTCTGGCTGCGATGTTGTTCTAACTGAAAGACTATTATTGTAACCTGGGTGCAATTCTAAAGAAGATAGTGTAATGTAAAGGCCTTACCGGTGAAGAAGACTGTAGGCGACTCGTCTCCTGAAAACAGTCCCTCTGTCCTGGTGTCAAAACGCAGCCAGAGGCCCACAGCCAGCACCCCCGTACCTGCCAGCTGCATTAAAGAGAGAAAGAAACCTGTATTAAAATCTATATCCAGATCTTTCAACATCAAGTCAATGAGTGTATTTCCTGCTGCATGAAGACCATCTTTAGATACAAAATCTGCTGTTAAACAATTCACACACTATTTAGCTATGCAGGAATAATAAAGACTATGGTTTACACTGGAGAAGGAGGGGATAAAAACGTACAAAGAAAGAAAGTCAAGAACACTTCACATTCATACACATTTTCCTCCTCAACACACCCAGAAGAACCTGATCAACAAGCAGAACATTTGACCCTTAACCACAGTTACTAGACATATGTGGCTGAAGGCTTTATTATTAGAGGTTTTACTACATTTGCCACAGCCACCACATGCATAAAATGTTGGATTAAAAAATGTATTATATGAATTCCCATACATCAATCCAGAACATTGGAATAATTAGTAAAAGACAGTGAAAAAAAAGCATGTTATTGTTTGTGCGTCTCCCATAGTGTTCCCACAGTAATGGGGGATGACTCCTCAGCAACCACTAAACACAAGTTCAGCTCTTTGTTGCCACCCAAATAACTTTTCCATCACGTCCTCTGCGTACAGCTGACGTCCTGTTGTTGTGCAACTGGAGACGGGACTGAGACAGAGTACCCCGCGCTAACTTGTAGCATTGTGTCCCAACATGTCTGCCTTCCTGCTGCAGACTGATGACCAATTCATCATCACATGTGACTCCACCTCAGTGTGGGTAAAGATTAGGGATACTGTGACATTGCTTATTTTTAACAGCTATATATATATATATATATATATTTGTATACTTCCTGTTGCACTTTCCCTTGGCTGATCCAACACTGCAAATTCACCCTTTGTGTGACTAGTAAGGGAGTATCTCAGTTTATAAAAGCGGTTATCTTATACAAGCAACTGATTATTTGTTTCCAACTTGTTTTTTACTGCCTGTTAAGTAAATAATTCAAATCAGACACCATATAATGAACCAGACAGACAATGGTCTATTAGGGTCATTGTAGGTGTAAAAAGATTATTTAGTTATTTTATTAAATAAGGGCTATTTGTAAATGTATTCCTTTAATCCAAGATAATATCCATGTTTTTCTAGTAAATTTGAATCTTGAAAAGTAGGGAATGTATTAACTATGACCACAACTGCACTGAACCCCCAAATAAAGCCTCATTTATTTTAATACTCCAAGTATCATTTGGCCAGTAAAGGCAAGCACTAAGTGAGGGTATACAAAATCAGTATCTGAAGAGACTCCCAAGACACTTTGTCATAAAACATGAAATCACAGAGCTTTTCAGGCTACACGTTCTGCTTGGTTGTCAGAAATATTTCTCAAGTGAATTGTATCCTTGTGTAAACCCAGCAGCAGTTAATGTACAGCACCATACTGAACCGTCTTGTCACTATAATCGTAAATATTTAACAAAGAAATCCTCTGGCACTTCCAAGCTTAATGTGAGGTCCAGAGACCTTTGACCACCAAAGTCTAATCAGTTCATTCTTGAGTAAAAGTTATGCCAAATGTGAAGAAATGTCCTTAAAGCGTTCCTGAGATGTTCAGGAGTATGGGACTGACAACACAAAAACAGACAAAAAAATGTAAACAGGACATTTCCTGAATGATAAATGGATATTTGTGTTAAAGTGCAGTAAACCCTCTCAAGAGAGTTTTGTTTGTTTAGTCGAGGCACTAAGGAGCTGTCCTAAATATCCTGGAAGAATCAGACGTGTCCCCTTGAGGTTCACATTATTAACTCTCATTAAACACAAAAGGCACTCGGCAGCAACATTAGCCGTACAGGAAGCTTACAAGAGAGAAATTCATTATTGATAGCTTTCATAAGCCTCAAAAAATGTACCATAGAGCCAATACAGCCATTACACAGGTTCAACACTAAAGCAAAACTAGTTTCTTGTGAAATGTAGTTTTTTTCAGGACCAAGGAGCCCAATTTGTTTACAGTAAGAATTCCTTACCAACAGCCCAGTCATTACATGTTAGAATAAATAACCCCCTCTAATCTGATGTTTATGCCTCTCTGTGAATCAGACCTTCAGTTGTCATCTCATTTGTCCACCCAACTGCAGACTAGAAATGTCAAAACAGTCATTAAGCAAGGACTAAAAGTCACGGTGTTATTCTAACACTGCAAACAGGTCATTAGAGTAATCATATAGAAAGCCATGTGGAAATTTAGACAGAATTCTAACAAAACAAACGTTTCTGTTATGCATCCTCTGGGTGTATCAAGCAAGAATTTCCTCTGCGGAAGTCAAAACCCTCATTTTTGTTTTTAAGATCAGGACGAAAAGGAAATGGAATGTTAAACACCTGAAAACAATGAGAGTCCAGTTATTCCTGATTAGCTGACTTGTATTTCAAATGGAAACTTGAAGGAATTTAGAAGTGGTGGAAAAAGCTTTGCTGCAAGATCACTTTTCTTATTATAATTAAACATCCATTAAAATAACATCTTAGTCATTTCATAAACAAACTTAAGGACTGGGTGCACCTGTATCTAGATATAATTAGACATTACTAAACAATAATAATTAAGGGGAAGCATGAGTAAAGCAGCTTCTGCCTGAATGTTGTTTTATTTAATTTATTCTTACTTTAACTATGTTTAAGTCCTCCTATGAAACTGTATTAACAAAAACACCTGGCTTGCTTGTACTCTGATCTGCTAAGCCATTAAAATGTAAGATTTGATATTTTCAAATATCTTTTCCGTGTTCAAAACCTAAAAGATAACAGAGAAAAACATCTAAATTCACATTTTAAAAGCTTGTATGAGTGAATATTAAAATAAAATGTGATCACTTTGATAACTGCCTCATTCACCCTATTTTTAGTAATTCTTCTTAAATAAAAGTGTGTGTTTATACCAATGAATCAAATGTATACATTTCTGAAAGTGTTTGCTATAAAATCTGATCTACTTGTCCAAACACGGCTGATTACTCATTCGATAAGGAGGAGAATGTTTGTATCTCCATTGGGAACACCACATGCATTTTAATGTCATGACAGGCATTGTTTAGTCAGAGAACACCTCACATTTTCCAGTGAAAACTTCCCGAGGCAACAATGAGGCTCAGAAGACAGCAGGTGAATGTGTTTACCCAAACTAGTACTCTTCAAGCTAAAGAAAATAGGTATATTCCTCAGGAGTTTATTAATGAATTCACCTGCATTTTTTAAACATTACAAAGGTTTTTAAGCTTGGAAGACCAGTAAGGCGAAAAAGAAATTTCCTTTAGTTTTGAGTTTGATTAAAGTTGCCAAACATGCCTTTTTATCTAAATGTATCCTGAAAAAACTATTTCAACAATGCGGGACTAATAGAGCATTTATGATTTATGAACAAGCAACCTCACACCTCAGACAAAAGCAGAAACAAACGCCTGAACTCAAGCATTTTAAAACGAATTTTCACTTCTCTTTTTTCTTTGAAATTCCCTGAAACCAGAAGTTTAAGAAGCTACCAAATGCCTAAAAAAACACGCGTCATCTGATCAAGAGTCTCATGTTTCAATCACAGCTACCATTGTGTGAGTGATACATACCCAGAAGAGGAAATTGAACACAAACACCAAGTATTTGATACACTGCAGTGCCCCCATGGCTCCGGGTTCAAGATTGAGAAGGTTTTTTGAAGAAGCAAAGTCCAAAAGTGAGAGGTTTCTCTGTTCAGGAGGTAAACCGTGTTCTTTGTGGGCGGCAGAGACAGCACAGAGTGTAAAGAAGATTTTTGTTTGAACCGCACCCTTGAACGGCTCACCTGGGTGTACTTAATAGGAAGTGAGGGGGCAGGCAAAAGGGGAGGGAGGAGATGAGGGGGAGGGATATCTGTTGCAGTGGATTTCACACTAAAATGAGAGCAGGTGAATGCAATTCAAAGAGCAGGGTGATTACTCTGCAGCATAAAGTCCAAAAATGTTTTATCCAAAGCCACTTTCAAATTCAGAACAGCAAGAATCCTTTAGATACAACAGCTTTAAACCACAAAAGTTGCATTTGATTATCATTGCTTTTTTGTTTTGTAGCCAAGATCTAGTCAAACACATGGGTTTTTAGTATATTAAAAAAGAGGTGTATACTTTAACATGTTTACATATTTAACTAATTTGTCATTAAACATTCTTGTCACATTTATAGGGTTGTAAACATTTATTGATCATATCATTTTATTTTTATTTTGTGTTGTGCCAAGTCTGCTGGAAATTAGATGTAACCTTGGTCTATTCCTCCATTAACGAACGCTTAACGTATATCTATAGGCTTCTTGTAATTTTCTGACATGGGGACAAATCCGGTTTACGTGATTTAATAAGGAAGTAAAGATGAGAAAAAAGGGTACACAAAAATGAGGGCTGCAACTTTAAAGTTGTATATGTCCCTGTTACGCCCTTGCATGAGCGGTTACACTACAGAATACGTGCGCTCACATGCGTTCACTTGTGACAGTTGTTTGAATGATTGGATCACATTGCATCTTGGTGTACCTTACCACTTTTATTGTGTTTCAAACATTCCACGTTTGATCCAATCACCCAAAAAGCATTAGTGAAAACAGAGACACATTGACCCAAAGGTCAAAGGTCGACCAGTTTGTTGGGGAACATAGAGTTACATTTGATGCTAAAGGTCACCATTGCATCCTCATCATCTGTTGAGCAGTTTGACAAGTGGACAAAGTGGCTTTTATCCAGATCTGAGATTTAAAAGTTTCGCAAAGCACTTCATGACTGTGCACCAGTTAGCACCGCTGTACACTCAGACACTTAACAGATCTGGAGGATTTAAAACATGTTGGAACAACAGCTTGCAGTAATGAGAGGTTGGTTATTTAAGTAAACACCTCTGTAAGCTAATAGGAACATGTTCCAGCTTCTGCTCTATTTTCTCCATTAGAGGTAAGGTAACAAATCGTAGCCAGACATTTCAGATCGGTAAGTATATTCAGGTTCTTCTATTTGTTTTGTATATCTTTTATTATTTTTATGTTGTTTATGACTTGGAACTGGCAGTGGCTGACACAGCATTACTGGTTGTGTAACATACAATAATTTATAGTGGAACATTTTGGTGGATAAAAATAAAAAAGCTGCACACAGTACCATTTTACCTGTCCAGAATGTCCCTATACCAATATTAATTTGAACTTTCAGTACGCTCTGTTCTCAGGTTTCTTTGCTAGTGTTCAATATTTGTTTGCATATATAAAAAGCGATTGGCTGCACATTTTATTTTGAATGAAGGAGAACTAAATGTATGATTAAATGATAACACAGTGAGAAAAAGATACTGGAATACTGACAGATAGGAATAGATGAAAAATATGTATTATTGAATAAATATGATATCACATTAGAAATCATGGAACTCGATCTACCAATCTCCGCCTCGTTTTGAATAATGTGTCTTAAGATAAATGAGGCTTCGCAGGTGTATTCACAGACACCTCCAGGGGCTGTGGTTCTCTGTTGTTTGCTATGAAACTGGAGCCCTCTCTCCCAGTAGACCCAGTGAAACCAACAACACCAGCTTTGTCTCCAAGCTGCTAGAGCCTCCCCCATCTCTCACTCTCTTCCTCCTCCCTTCCTTCACCCTTCTCTGCCATGAAGTGTTCTGTTAGCGTTCTGTCCAGACTGCAACATGTTCGGTTTGTGTGCATCTCCAGACTGGACCTTTGTTTAGTAATTGTTTTAAAGATAAGGAGATCAATGGAAGAGTGAGAGGGGTTTGTTACAGAGGGGAGAAGACACAAAAGAGTGAAAAAAGAAAAGAAGGGAGTAAAGAAGCATTGATTGCACAACTTCTCAGTCCTTTCATTTGCCTCAACCACACCCCCTGTTGGGATTTATCAGCATTTTCAAAACTACAGCAAGACCAAGAAAGGTTTTTATAAACCCCAACCATGTGTCCGAGAGGTAGTGTATAGGACTACATGAGAAGATGTTTCATTTAGACGTCAATTGCACAAATTAAAGTATATTTCTCTCCCATATCCAGGACAATCCTCATCTTATATCTTGCTTTTGGAGCAAACTGAGTCATCTGACAACGTTATCATTTAGATATGACAATAGGAGAGTACGGTGTGGAAAGAAGTAATCTGAAATGTCAACACCTTAGGATAGCATTTTTTAAATCAGCAATGGAGACTTTTCAATAATTTTGTTGCCTTATTTTACCCATTTTAAAAGTTGACAGTTGCTTAAAGGTTTCAGATATAGTTTGAATATTTTCAGAGGGACAGTTTTTTGTAACATTAAATCACATAAACAGTAGAAACCCAAAATGTTGAACCTAAAAATGTGCATACTATTTCCCCATTTAGTAAGAGTAGCTATACCATGTACTGTAGTGTTGCATTCAAAATGATGATGAAGTAGAAGCGTCAAAATACACTTAAAGTGGCAACATTTGTGATACTGTTTATAATGTATATACTGCTCGGTAGATTAACTAATAATATTACATCACAATTTGTTAGTATATTTATATTGTGTATTAATACAAATCTGCAGAGCAACTATCAAATACGTATTTAGTTTTAAAAAGGGTATTGAGGAGTATAAAGTAGCATAGAATGGAAATGCTCCAACTGATATAGCCCTAATGATGATAATATACAAAAAACAAACAAAAATAAAATGATAATATACATTGACCACAAACATAATTATTATTATTAAAATATGCACGGTTTTTGGTCAATTCTGGCTCGATCAAAGGCCTATATTGAAAATAAAACAAATAAAAAGGGCTAACCGTTTTTGGGGTAAATTTAATCTATCTTCCTCTTTAACTGTTATTTTGAATATTTTAACTTACCCAGAAGACGAAATTGAAGATGAAGAGTGCGTACTTGAGGCAAAGCTCCCAGCTGCTTAGAGCCGACATCCTGATGTTGGTTTTAACGCTGTTTGTTTGGATTAAAACGGTTAAATATCTGAAAATCTATCAGCGGTTGTCCGTTCTTATCTGTTGCGTTCGGTTCGGCTCGGTCACTTCCGGCAGTTGTCGGCTGTGTGATGTGTTGAGAGGAAAACGAGAAGATCAACTGCTGAACACCCACAGACAGTGGCGGCGCCAGTGTAAAGTAATTCACACAGCCTCTTCCCTCTTCTCTCTGTGAGGAGCAGCAGGTTCAGCTTTCAGAACAAAGTAACAAGAAACAAAAATGGCATTAATTTTTTTAAATGTGTAGTAATAGATTTATTTATTTTTCTTCTCAAGAGAGTACCAGAATGTGTATTTTATGTTAGTATTTCAAAAAATCTCCTGGGGTAGAATCCCCCCAGACCCCCCTGCAGGGGTTGGGTTTTCAGCATGTCAACTCTTTCACCTGTGGGGAAATTGCAGGATTGGCTCCAGGTCGCCCTTTTTATTTACTACAAGACAAATGTGCCTTTTTATTTCATACAGTTCAATTTGGATTGAGACAGGGAAATAATCTAAACCTCACGCGTGGCGTTTCACTGTCAAGGGGGGCGATATAGCGTGTATGTAATTACATTGCAAATACTGATTTGAGCCCCACCACTGTATGGGTTAGCCCAGATTACCCAACAAAAATACTCTGGAGCCGCCACTGCCCACAGATAAAGCCTGTCTTTCTGTTTCTCGTTTGTCTTTCTTTCTGGCTCCTATTTGCTTGCTTGTTTTTTTTATAGCTCATCACATCACACCGGAATAAAAACAAGAAGAAACTATAAATAAAGCTATATTCTGAATGTAGGTCTGCTAAAAACCCTATAAACAGTGGTGTCAAATTCCACTCAATTACTGTACTCAACTATAGGCAAAAAAAATACTTAACCTAGTAGTATTTCATTTCATGTTACTTTATACTTCTCCATACAGGCACTCTAATACACCCACTCTCATATTGTTTTGCAGATAAAGATTCTATATAAACTATTTTAATACAACAAATTATTTAGCATTTAAAAGATATCTGTTCATTTGGTGACAGATTGTTTAATTAATTAAGATAGATATGTATGACTGAAAAATGCGTGTTCTTTTTTTATGCTTGATAAAGTCAGTTTGGCTGCCTGTGAGGGGAATCATATTTGATCATGCACATGTGATTATTTTAATTCTCTTTGTGTTTGATCATGATGAATCTGTGTGATCTTTAGCTGAATTAACCTTGGCCTGATTGCCTTAACTAAGGCATTGTTGCCTGTAGCCCTTTGTCTTGAGAACACAGGCATGCAAAGCCTAAATTAACAAATATAAAACACTAATAGCTCAAAAAATAATAATAGTATAAAACAGTGAATATTAGATCACTTAAAAATAGTTCCCATACTGTCAGTGGTTTCTGTAGACTGGCAACAACATTCATGAATTTGGCAGTGAGAGCATGATCACATTTTCAGAGTTTGAACTTCAAACCTCATTGCCAGCTTTCGAAATGCCATCAAGGTCAACACCAACGATAACCCCAGTGTGTGTGTGTGTGTGTGTGTGTGTGTGTGTGTGTGTGTGTGTGTGTGTGTGTGTGTGTGTGTGTGTGTGTGTGTGTGTGTGTGTGTGTGTGTGTGTGTGTGTGTGTGTGTGTGTGTGTGTGTGTGTGTCTGTGTGTGTCTGTGTGTCTGTGTGTGGCTATACTTTCTCTCTCATTCTCTGCTGGAAATGTGACTGTTTTTCTTTTAGTGCAGAACAAAGACGACAGTGTGAGCAGTCAGCCCACAACTTTTGTTTGCAGCTGCGCAGAAACACACACTGATGATGATGAAGATATGGATAAATATGATGAGGGTGATGAAGGTGTTAGCAACCAGAGTGACCAGCTGACCAGAACCACAGCGGAAGGAGTAAAATAACTCCAAACACAGAAATATTGAAATAACGTTTATTGACATCTGTTGCACTTGTCTATGGCTCTGATGTGCCTTTTAAGTAGTGCAGTATATCAGTGATTAACTCTTATTCCACATGCACACATTTTAACCTCAGAGTATGAGAAGCTGGTTGCACCACATTCATGATGTCATGTCCACATCTCCATGATCACATTATAGATCTATGTACATACTTAGTATACTAGTTACATACTCCTATCATGCCTATTTAATGTTTTATTGTATTAAATTGATCATATTTGAGTATTAGAACTGGTGCTATCACTACAATTCTGCATGCAATCCTGTATTGTGACAGTAAATCTCTCAAAAAGAGGCATTTGAGGCAATTTTTTAAAAAGGTCAGACTTTTTATGTGTGTGCAATTGACTATATGTGTTGGTTCTGATGGGGATTTTTGAAATAAATTGATAATAATTTCAGTTTCATCCCTAATAAACCTCCAAAGGTTTGTGTGTCTACAATGTCTCAGTCTTCTACTGAGAGGCATAAAGACTGAGTGTGTTCCTCTGTGAAACAACACTGCCTTCATCTCCTTCATGGTGTGTGTGTGTGTGTGTGTGTGTGTGTGTGTGTGTGTGTGTGTGTGTGTGTGTGTGTGTGTGTGTGTGTGTGTGTGTGTGTTTGTTTCAGTTTGCAGAACAACTCGGCGTTCATCATTGCACCCCTTTACAAAGCCTTCCTTCAGAGCTGCTGCACACTGTGTGTGTGTGTGTGTGTGTGTGTGTGTGTGTGTGTGTGTGTGTGTGTGTGTGTGTGTGTGTGTGTGTGTGTGTGTGTGTGTGTGTGTGTGTGTGTGTGTGTGTGTGTGTTGTGTGACAGAAAGAGGATAAAATGAAGCAGAGAAGGAGAATGAAGAAGTAATCGTCACATTTTCAAAAAATTTCCAGGTTTCGATCAACCCAAAGTGTCTTATGATAAACCACAAAAGTTCCAGGGTAATAAAAATAACATGCACACACTTAGACAATAGGAGGGGAAAGGATATGTCTAATACATAAAAAAAACCTCTGAAGTTAATATAAATCTTCATCTGAGGTCAAAGAAGGCATTTAAGGAATGAAGAATCTGCTGTCCTATAGTGGTTACGTTCAGAAGCTAAAATAACATCAAACTTTTCACTAGTGATGGACAGATAAAGCTTTATGAAGATTTTGATCAAACAGTGACATCTAGCGGTTTGAAGTGAGTATTGAATTGTTTAATTTTGCTCAAGAGCACTTACATTTTGCCACTCAATTTCTGAGAAAATGTGTGAAATTATGTAAACTACAACATAAAAGAACAGTGTTAATACCCATAATTCTTTAAGGATAGAATATATTATTAATTGTGTTTCAATGCAGAAATAGCAAGGAGATAACCACATTAGTTCAAAAATGTACATTCAAGATGAGATGCATCATTAATGCCATAATAAACAAGATAAAAAATAAAACAATACAGATATTTACATGTTTACACTTAGCATGTAGACCTAAAATAAACACATCCCCATCCACAGCTCCATGTATTCTGGTGGTAAGTGGCTACAGAACTTTTAAACGATGGAACAATTCTTTATGTCCCAGCCAATCAGCAGGGTTGCTCCTCACGGCGCGGACCAATCAGAGAGCAGTGTGTGCTGATGGAGCGAGGCAGCGGCGGTTTACCTGTCAGTCAGTGTCGTTACCGGGACGAGCACCGCCACCTGCCCGGTAGATTGTATCGGCGTCAAATCCAAAGTTAAACGATGGAAAGCAACGCCGGACACCCTGCTTCGCCTCAAAGTGGAGGTTAACGTCACAAAGTTGTCACCAACTGCTTCCCGTTACCGTCATGGATCGGACCGGCTCCGGTGCCCTCCTCTGGCGGCGGAACATGAAGCTGGACACCTTCCTGAAGCGGAACACGGAGCGGGCGGTGTACGAGCGGATCCGAGCCTACGAACCGTGCGTGGTGATATCAGAAACCGTTAAAAAGGTGTATATGCATGTGGTGTTGAGCGACGAGCGCGTGTATCTTACAGAGTACCCGCCACGCACGCTCACCGAAGCCTTTAACTTCAGGCGCGTGCGTCACATCGAGCTGGTGAGTTTAAAAATCATATTAAACTTCTTCTATTTTCAGTGAAAACTACAGCTACAGCACAGCAGTGACTGTAATCGCCTCCAATATGTTTCATTTTGATTCAAGACGGAATTGTTTGATATTTAAGATATCAAACATAGTGAAATGTCCCTTAAAATGTCCAGAGCTCAATCTATCATCTTTGAAATATTGTTTGACTTCTTAACATTGACAACTAGAGATCCACTTGCTTTTTATTTGTAATTTTCTTTAACCACATCTCTTGGCCATTATAGGTGTTGCAGTTGTCATGGAGATAGCAAGTGGACTTTCTGTTGAGAATTGGCCTTCAAAAATGTACTTAAAAGATAAATAAGTTATCAAAATAGTTATGATTTTCGTGCATCAACTAAGCAATCATTTATCCACAGCTATTTGTTAGTCGATAAACATATTGTACAAGCAAATACGACAGTTTCAGCTCCCAGTAAATAGTTGAACTAAACATTTTAACATTTTGTAATTGGCATTTTGTTGAATAGTAATCCAGATTTAGATCAAGCAATAATACAAATAGTGATTAGATGCAACTTCAACTGTGATTGTAGCTTCCAGCTTTCAAATTCAGCATATCAACTTTAAACTTGTTGGCATTATTAGATGGTTAACTGAATATTTTGAGATTTTTCTACTAGTAATCGAGAAAAGAAAGCAATAATTAAACTAATGAGTTGCAGCTCTTTCTGCGATTTAAAGCAAAAATAAAGACCATCATCATCACCTCCTCTGTGGTAGATCCTGCTTCTATAAGTATTTCCAGAATCACATTTACGATTCTTGACACAAGCTGAAAACAATACCGCTGCGTAGTGGCTGGTTATTACCTGAAAACATTAACTAATAGCCTGCTGTAGTTAAAGTCTTAAGATTACAGATGTTTTGATTTACAGGTTTCACCATTATTTCATTGATTATATA